AAATAAATAAACGAACTTGACAAAAATTTTAAAAAATTCGATTTTTCGAAAAAAAAATTTTTACAAATGAAGATTCGTTCGTGTTTAATTCCATTATATAATATTCTGTTGCGAATTAATCAAATTTACAGTTTCTTTTGTTATTTTTCAAAATGACTCGAGTTTTGACTTATATTTCAAATAATAATAATTTCTTATTTTTCACATTTTTGAATTGTTCTCAAGCAACTTTCTTTCTACTTTCAATTATAGAACACCGTTTAATTTCACAATATATTTCACATTCGCAACTTTCAAATTTCGGCCGTATCGATTAGCATCCCCCTAAATCTTCCGATCAACGATCAGGATTTGCAATTCATTGGCCCAACGTCGTACAGTTGCTTTGATTAAACGTCAAATTACCTTGATTGCGGCATAAATTGGGACATTAGAATCAGGCGATTAATCAAGGTGACGGGGTCGTTGCGTTTTCCCTCGCCGTCTCCACCCCTCTCTCCCTCCTCGAACCATGATTTCGCGCCACCCCTTGAAACACACTTGAAAACTTCTCTCGATGAAGAAGAAGTGTATCCCTCGTGACTTTCTTTATGACGAGTTCGATCTTTTCGTTCAACTAAAAATCTGAATCTTTGCAATCTTAATTAATTAAACGTCGTCGTACCAAAATCCCCTCCCGTTATTAGTCGAATTGAGAATCGTTGTGTTTAAATTAATTTTAATTAATACAATCGAAACGAACGCGCTCGTTCTATCTATGGGAGTAAGCCCACGTTTTCATGAACGTTTTAATCCCGCTTTCACCGTTCATTATTAGGGATACACTGTGTATTGGTAGGATCTATTCGATGCAGTGCACAATATTTTACGCTGGCAAAATAATACACAAACAAGTTTGAACTGCTTTGATAGAATGTGAATGCAAGTTTACGCGAAACATTGCTATCTGATGATATTTTGTGCACAAAGAGTGATAACTCAAACAGAAGAAAAGTGATAGAAAATTAAATTAAACGGATTTATAACAAAATTGGCTATTTTAAATATTCAAATATTAAAAATATTTTTCAAGTGACCAAAGATAATTAGAATGTTGTCAAAATTGATTACATTACGAATTTATGAAAAAAAGTAAGAGATTTTTACTAATTTAATAATCTCCTTTTCTCCCTTCCTCTGATTTCGATCGAGTCTCAAAACAAAATGCAAAAATTCATATACAATAGAAATTATTCTATCATCGAAATCATTCGATTGACGATTTTTCATGGAAGTTCATCGCGTCGCGTTCAACAGAGATCCCTAAAAATCCGTGGGATAGATCTGCCGATCTATTGCCCTTAACATGCCATTAAAGTCGGACGTGATTTCCATTTCGATGCAAATCGCGTAATTACGACCGATGATGAATGACGACGACAGAGAATCGAGCCACGAAGCGACACGATGCGATACGCCCAGATCCGCTTCACAATTCTCGAAAGAGGAACGATCCACGCTTCCATCCGTTCGACACTTTTCCCTTATCCTTTCGTTCCTTTCCTTCGTCCGAGGTTTTTATTCAGCTTCTTCACCTTTAACTTTTCCATTAATCTTCTCCCGCTGGCTCTATCCGTGTCCCCGATCCATCCACTGATCCACATATTTCCCGCTCGTGACGATGAACGCGTTGTCTTTTGTTCCCTGACAGAATACGTACGGATACGGATACGGATTTATCGAATTTTCCAATTTTCTTCTATCGAGGAGACAATATATATATTTACGTCGATTAATTTTAAACTGATTTCGAGCAAATATTATATATCAATAGATGACTTTCCCAATCGTGATATAATTTTTACTCGAGAGAAAACTTAAGTTTTATTCGAACAAGAATCCTTTACAATCTTCGTGTCCCCGTTCCCGAGAAGAAAAATCTCGCACACATCCCCTGTCATGAACGCGAGAGCTTCATGAAATTCTATACGCTATTCTAATCCCCGGCAAACTCGGCTCCCCGAAATTTCCATAGTTTCCAAAATCAGTATCGAACTTCACCGCCAAAGGAAACCACCGCCTCTACTCCGTCGTTATAACATCGAGGCGAGGCTCGAGATGGAAAACGGCAGAGAGGAAGAAAAGAAAAGAAAAAAAAAAAAAAGAGGAAGACAAGGGGAGAGCGAAATTCGTCTCGACGTGCATAATCAGCGGATGTATGAAACAGGTGAATTTTCAATTTTCCTCCATTTTTTGTCGCACATGCGACATTTCATGTAGAAGGTAATCCATCGACCACCTGTGTGTACGTCGATCGGGTCATCCGATACCTCGATTGTCAAAACATCGAGCCTCTCTACCCTCTATCTCCCCTCTCCTCCTCCAGTTAACCGATAATCAAGTTTCAAGTCCACGACGAAATGCAATACATCTCTCTAATCGATTTAATCGGAGACGCGCTTTTCGATCATCGATTATCCTCGTTTCCCAAGATGGACGTTGGAAGAAACGTGGTTCGTGGTTCGAGGAGGGAGATCGCGAGGGAATTTGAATTCGAGCACACACCAGTATCATGGATGGGGGAGGAGGAGGGATGTTTATTGGATAATAATTGGGAGGACGATTCGATTGTACAGATTCCCAGATGCAAATGAGCCGTTTTGCACGAACGTTTTGGGAGCCACTTGAACGCGGTCGCGGCTACTATACCGATACCTCGTGGCTTTATTCGAGTTCGTTATAAACGCGGCGTACGTTATTTGTTGCGGGTGATAGGATTTTCGGACTTTTGGCTTCGAGATTATCTTGATCTAGTGGCGTACGGGATATCGTTTCAATCGATTATCGAATGGATAATATATATATGTACTTCTTTTCCTTCTTTGAAACCTGGTTTATATATCCTTTTTCCAGAGAAATTGTTAAATATTGTACACTAAATCGTAATTGAAGATCGCGTTTCGATATATGAATGATTTTTTTATATTTGGATAATAATCGTTGGAAAAATAGAACCAATTGAATCGATTAATTAATTAGAAAATTGTGACACGTTATCTGCAAAAATACAACCCTATTTGATATAAGAATGGATCATAGCTTATCTTCTTCTATTCGCCGCATACAGTCTTGCATAACGGATAGGGTCTGAATTATTCAAACTAGGTTAGTCGAAAGTTCGAGATGAGTAACATTTTACGAATATTTATTACTATTTCCCGCTGTGAACTTTCCAAGTGAAACTACGCAAATATCGAACACCGATAAACCTTGTCACTCGTCTTATTAACGTTTCACGACCATCGTGCTCCCCTGTCCTCTCTCTACAACTTTCGCTATTTTATAGAGCGCGCGGAACTTGAGAGGGGGAAAAATATATATTCACGGTCGAGTGGACAAACGAGAGGGATTGAATATCCCAAGAAAATCCTTCGAATCCAAACAGATTCGTAACGAAATCAAAACTTAACTTTTCAAAAAATTGTCCACGCTGTTTTAACACCGCTAATTTTCACCATTCCACGATTGCAAATCGTATAACGTTGCTCGAAATACGAATATCCTTCGACGAACGTCGTCAAATTGATCGATTCGATGCAACGAAGCGTGAAATCGAGACATGATCGAGACGATGGTTAATGAAACGGAGAAAAGTATTTGTAACTGGACACCGCTAAAGCCTTTAAGATAGTTAATCGAACGAGCTTGTACAGGGAGAGGGTGATTTCGTGGCCGCGCAAACAGGAGGTTTCTCACCCTCTTTCGAGGGTGGCGCGCGATATCGAGAGTGTCGATTAATGGCGGAGAAAAACTTCATTAGGGATCGAGAGGAAATCGAAAGAATTCCTCGAGATATTTCAACGTTATTTGAGGGTTCAACATATTCGTTTTTTTGCGTTGCGAGCAAATCACGAGGAAGGAAATTCGATCGCTTCAGGATTTCTCTTTTTTCCATTCGATCCCTTTGAACCTTTGGGTCGTTTCAATCTCTCGAGGAAAGACTGGAGAGACCAAAATGGAAAATGGCTTCTTCGGCCGACACCTCGGTGTCGTTCAATCCTCTCGAACTTCTCGAAAGAGGAAATTCCTCGCGTTTCCAGTCACAAAAGATGCATCGCGTTTCCCATCTGGATCCAGAAGAAGAAAAAGGGGAAATATTAATTAAGGGGGAAACAAGTTTGGAACGTTTAACGCCGCTTTGGATTAACATCTGAACGAAAGCCTTGAATTCTGCGATTACGTAACGAGCCTTAAGATGCGCAGGAGCAAAGTTCATTGAAATGCTGGTGATCTTCAACAACCCTACATATCGGGAAAGCTAAACGAAACTCATCAAAAATCGAAGAGCATTCGAAGCACATTTTTTTAATAATCATAGAACGAACGCTTTATCAAGAAGACACGGTATAGATTTTATAATATCTCAACTAAACAAGTAGCAGGATAAATACAGAAAAGAAGAAGTTCCAGAAGCCCTTATTCCCCTTATCTTAAGAGAGAAGAAACCGAAGCTTCTTATCGAGGGGAAAAAAAATTCTCGGCGACCTCGAAGTAATCCTGGTCGTTGCAGCTATACGAAAGATTCTTCGACTTTCGTTCCTCTTCGAAACTGGAGAAGTTTGCCAGAACTGCTATAAATTTTGATGCATCCCTTGGACAGGCAAAGAAACTATTCTCGGTGCTTTTAGCGTGCAACTCTCCCAAGATTGCTCTCCTTTTTTTCTTTTATTCTTTTTTTTTTTTTTTTCCTTTTGCTTTCGCAAC